GGATGGATGGATTGGGACAGGGGCAGGGGAGGGGGGGGCATAGGGGAGGACGTACCGAGCGAGAGGAGCACATTGACAAGCTCAGAGAGGGCGTAACGGGTGGAGGAGATGGGGACGGAGAAGAGCGAGGAGGGGACCTTGCTGTGGGCCGGCTCGCGGCACCGCGAGACCAGCTGGACCTGGAGAGTCTCGGCCATGGTTCAGACGAGTGGTGGCTGGCGAGTGGTGACCGGTGACCGGCGACGTGCGATGGGCGATGGGCGATGGGGGGCGATGGCAGGGGAGAGGGGAAAGAAGGTGCGATGGAAACGTGTTTGATTGGCGGGGGCGTATGATGCTGGCGCCGGGGCAAGCGCTGTTCGTCACTCGCTGGTGATGAGGTTATGGTTATGGACGGCCTCGGTAACGTCTCGCGCGGGATCAAGCTCGCATACGTCCTCCACTACAGCTGTGTTGAGGGCACGATTGATGAGGAGCTCCCACTTGTCGGCGAGGTCGGACGTAGGGAGCCGAATGCGGACAATAGTCTCAGTTGATCGGGAGAGGAGATCCGAGCGCGCAAAGAGGCCAGTTCTGGTGACCCAGCCATCGAGGGTGGCGTAGCCGGCAACAGGATGTGGTTCGATGGTGATGTCACGCTCGCCGAGGCGGACGACTTGGAGCGCCTGGTGCGGGTACTTGGCAAGCGCGCGATCTTGGCTCTCCTCGCTGTGGAATATCAGCAGCTTGTTGCAGGTGAGCATGAGGAAGCGAGATCGCCAGGGAAAGAGCATGCCGCCGGTGTGGATGTGCGCTGCACTGGTGGCCAGAGGCGGCGAGAGCACATTGTCCGAGTCGTGAAGGATCGGGTTGGAGGTGACCGACTCCCACACGTGCTCGACCAATGCGCGCGGCACGCCGAGCCCGGAGCAGTTTTGCACAAACGAGGACCGGGTAAAGCCCGAGATGGTGTGCGATGAGTGGGCATCGGTGTTGAGCATGACGGCGGCGAACGAGAGAACGTACGCTGCGTCGACTGTGAGCAGATTGGTAAAGCCGTTGTCGTCGATGACGACGTCCTGAGCTGACGAGGCCGTGACTTCCGGGTTGGCGCTGCAGTACGCCTTGGCAAAGGTATGCATGATTCGATCAATGGCCTGGGCCTCACCAGGCATCCACAGAGGGTGCAAGAAATCGCGCAGCGCGTCGGCAAAGTCGAGCCCGACAAGCGCTGGCATCCGCGCCATCACGTACCAATCGCGCGCAGCCGCGTACGTTGCAGAGCCAAGGAGCTCGCCGATACGACGCTTGGAAATGCCCGGTGTGTAAAAGACAAAGTCAAAGACCTTGGTGTCGACACCAACCTCATCGTCCTTTTCCATGCAATCAAACAGCGCCAGCGACTGTAGGTAGGCGAGCGCGTCGTCGAGGCTTGGCGCCTTGTTAAAGTTGCAGGTCACCGTCTGCTGAGTCGCGATCCGCCAGCGGAGCTCATCCGCCCAAGAGTGGGACGGGCTGTCGGCGATGAGCCGTCTCCGGCTCATCGGTGGCACATCGCCAAGTGTTTCGATGTACTTTGCTCGCCACACCATGTTGTCGCGCACAAGCCACGCCAGGTTGCGTGCACGTCGACGCCAGCGTCCGCTACGTTCGTCTGCCCCGAGCATCTTGCCTTATTCTCAACCAGCAGCTCAGCTGGG